ACTTTAGAGTATATTGAACCTATAAAATAAAGGGTAATATGAAATTATAATTTTTTATTAGGATAAAATTATATTTTTTAACGGTTATATTAATAGATATCAATGAAAATGAGTTACGTGTTATACGTGCACAAATGTCATAAGATGTAAGAGTAATATTCTAAATGTGAAGAGGTCTAAATGATTAACTAACAAATATGAGGGGATTTAGGTATAATTTATCAATTTAATTTTAGGTGTACATTGATACAAATTTCTATCTTTGAGAGTGCAAATTGAGGTTTTTTATTTTTGGGGTACACTTTGATATAAATTTCTATCTTTGAGGGTACAAATTGAGATTTTTGATATTTGGGGTGCACATTAATACAAATTTCTATCTTTGAGGGTATAAATTGAGATTTTTTATCTTTGAGGGTATAAATTGAGATTCGAACAATCTTTCAGAGTGCAAAATGAGATTAACTCGTTTAAATAGCTGAAGCATAACTAAGTTATAGTCGTAATAGGACAGATAACAAATTTAGATATTATGAATTTAAATTTCAATAATTATTTGAATTTAAGTTATGAATATTTTAATCTCTACGTAGATAATTTATCTTTGAATAGGCCGAAAAAAATTTAGTCAAAGTAAGAATAAGATGACTTCAACAATTCTTATCATTAAACAAAAATAAAAATAAAATAGTGTACATTTAGAGATGTCGGATCCTTTTGGGGTTGTATTAATTTTGGTACATGTAGTGTTCGTGTTAATAAAAAAAATATTTAATATTAGAGTTAAATACCAAAAAAAAAAAAAAACCTTAAACTTCTGCCTCTCTATGGTACCCCTTGTTATTTCATTGAATTTGTTTCAAATTTAATCGTTATGGACTGATACCAAAATCGAGTCTTAAGCAAGTCGACCTAGTTTTATATGTGCCTAACTTTTTTGTAGTGTTAAGTGTTACACTAAACCCCCTCAATTTTAACATAAAAGGGTAAAAATAAATAAACGTTGCTAATTTAACGCAAGATGTTAATCATACCTTCAAAACTGCAAGTGAAAATAAAACGTGTTAAAATTATAATTTAAAATTCTTAAAATACCCTATCCAACCTTGCCATATTTATCTCTTTCCAAATTCTCTCCTTCCCCCCCCCCCCCCCAAACTCCCCCTCTATTTAGTCATCTATGTCTCTCCAAAACCACTTCTTCCCCACCGAAACCGACCACCATCGCAGCACACTCCTGTTGCAAAACCCTTAATTGAGGTAAATGATTTTTTTTTTAAAAGATTGAATTGGAAATAGAGAATTAGAGAGATAAAATTAAATGATGGTGTCAAAGATACTGAGGTAGAAGAAGAGTATTAAAATAAAAATTAAATGACTAAACAGGATAATTTAATATTTTTATAAATTTCATAACAAATATTTGCGATACTTTATTTTTAAGTGAGTGGGAGATTAGTGCAATACTTAAATTAAGAAGAAGGTACGTGCAAAAGATAATTTTTAATTTTATAATAATTTATATAATATTATATAAAAAATTATAAAATATTTATTTTTTGCTTACTCATTAATCATGGTATTTATGTCTGAGCTTAGTTTGATCAATGTAGTACATATATTGCTACGCCATTGTTTTTAATTTGTTATTTTTCGCTCTCCGGAATTACGTTACTTTTTGAATATCATAATTTTGATTAAGTGATAGAAAATTAATATTTGGTCTTATTAAGTCGAATAGCATTATTGGAAAATCGGAAAAGAAAGTCTGTTCAAACGCAGCTGGCGTCGGACACCCTTCGTCCCTTCCGTGGAATACTATCGCAATCATTTTCTTTGACTGCAACTCTCTCTCTCTCTGTACTTCGTATATTGTATCATCTGATTTTATTATTGTTCGTGTATTTACAGTTGTATTTCTTTCGAATTAATGAATCCATAAGCCCTTTCATTCGAATCTCAATCAAAAACCCCTAGATCTGATCTAACTTCATCCAAGCTTTATGTGAAACTGTGATCCACCGAATTTGAAGAAATGCCGGTGGCAGCTTCCGCTATATACTTCTTGAATCTCCGTGGCGATGTCCTCATCAATCGCCTCTATCGCGATGACGTCGGGTCAGCTCTCTCTCTGTCTCTCTCTCTCTCATATTCATTCATATCTATTTAGTAAGAGGCATTTTTTCGTTTCTTTTCCTTTTTTGAAGGATCTCTCGGCCCTCTTGTAACGAAATTTTTATTTTTGTTGAAGTTTTGGTTGTTGCTAATCAAAAATAATTTGTATGAACTTGCATATCATCGGCCATTTGTTTACAGTTTATGTTATTGGAGAGAATGAGGCAAGAGGGAAAAAAAATAGGATAAGACATTTTTTTGGGCAGATTTGTTTCCATAGTAGGATCTTGATGGTGAGCTGGTTACCCGCAGTTGGTGGCTTGATTTTAAACACCTGTAAGTTTCTGGCTGGCACATACGCTTATCTTGATAAATTCCTGGTATTAGAGCCAGGATTAATAGGGCAGACCCATCTTATGTGAAGTAAATAGTCATTAAGGTATGTCACAACTTCACGAATTGTACAGCAAAACTGACCCATGATGGAGGAAGTCATTAACACCTCTGATGAAATTTAAGATTGTACCTACCTATGGAGCTTTAGGATTGTTGTTGTCCACACATTTTTTAGTGGGCTAGGATGAGATCCTTAGACACAGCGATGGGACAAGTACTAGAGTCCATAACCATGAGATAAAGATGCCCGTTACGCCAAACACACATTATGCTACTTTCACAACAAATCATTGATTTTAGTGCTCTGTTGTGTTGCAAAGAGGGTGTGGGATTTGATTATAGTCTTTTGTTATTACTGGTGTTACTCAACATCTCAATTTCCTCTTCTTCGTTAACCCCTTTTGCCTTCCTACTTCTTGTGCCAAATGTGTATATCCTTCCCCCTCATGGTCTGGTTGGATGGAAGTTGTAGTTGAAGAAGAGGTTTCTGTGCAGTAATGAATTTTGGTTTTTTTGTATGCGCCAATTGAAGTTCTGTGGGATAAATAGAGGTAAGGCCAAAGATTGTATCAATTCCAAATTTTGTATGAGCAAGGCTAAAGCTTGGAATATGTGCATCTATGTTGGGCTAAAAAAATTTCCGGTGAAACTTCAACCGATTTAGACAACTTTCAATAGTTATAGCTTCTGATCAATCATTACATTAATTAATTCAATAGATGTATCTTTATAACCCCCACTTCTTGCCTAAAGGAATCGATGCTGGAATTGACGTGTTACTCATGCTTCTGCAACTTAGAAATTGGACAAACAGTTGGCTGAAAAGGAGTAACATTGGAATAAAATAGAGGAACAGGAATAGAGGTATAAGAAGGAGAATGAGGGACTGAATATGAGGTGATGCCCAAACAGATGTGGGACGGCACCTAGAAGCTTAGAATTATGATGTCTACCCCCACTTATATGGTGGTCTTATATGGTGAGCTAGGGCTTCAGATTGCTTGTGGTTCTAGGGTTTGTGAAGTTAGAAGGGATATGTAGATGTTTCTACTTTCTAGATAGCTGTCGGACTCAGTTGGAATAGAAAAGTTGAAGAATGACTAATATTAGTTATTTGAGGTATTAAATTGAATATCAATCTGTCAGAAAGACTCATAATAGCCCTTGTTTATAGACTTCAGAAAACTACTTTTTTTAATGCTTTCCAGTTTATGAATGTATTCTAAATTGGTTTCAACTTGTTTCTTGCAAGGATTAGACTGACAAACCCTACATGCATTCTCTATATAGGCATCATGCATTTTAGGCCAAACAGAAATCCAAGCCACTGTCTAGGTAATCCTAAATTGAACCTTCCATACTGTGTCAATTTAGCTTTCACTTTCCTTGAAAATAGCAGAGTTAGATATGCTGGTAACCGGCTACCAAACTTCGGAGTGGTGTTATGCTATGCTGTGGATACTATTTAATCTGAATCCAGACTTGGTTTTCCCTGGAGGGATTACTTGCCGTTTTCCTGTAAATCCTGTCTTGTATCTGTTTTGCTGCATGCAAATTATTGTCAATTATAGTTTTTTTTTGATCAAAAATGTCAATTATAGTTTGCTGCATTTTATTTTCAATACAATTTTCTGGCTTAATGCTGTATAGTTAACCTCTGTGTTTTTTCTATCTGATCAGGGGAAATATGGTGGATGCTTTCCGAACGCACATAATGCAAACAAAAGAACTTGGTACATGTCCTGTGCGGCAGATTGGAGGGTGCTCTTTCTTTTACATGAGAATTAGCAATGTCTACATAGTCATCGTCGTCAGTAGCAATGCTAACGTGGCTTGTGCATTCAAGTTTGTTGTTGAGGTAGTTGGCATCTGCTTGCTGGTTAAGCTTCTTAATGGATTTGGCTTTGTTCATCTCTTAAATTTTTTTTTATTTGGTTCCTTTATTACTATGATGTGTGTCTGTGCAGGCTTCTGTTGTAATATTAGTTCAATAAGTAATTATTACATTAGATTTACAGACATCAGGCTATGCCAATTTTCAGCCATCCTAGTAGCCAAGGAAAGCACCATGGTCTGACATTTATTTAGGACTGCTGGTTTGCCTACAATTTATCTCTTTCTGGTCAAGTATATATTCAAACACACGCTAACTGCCTAACCATAACTGCCTATGATTTTCTTTCTTTTTCTGCTCCTCTTTCCTTACCACATTGGTCACTGGAATATGAGGCTGTCACTTAAAGCAGTGTCCAATGTTATCTGTTCTTCTGCTTTGTCATGAAGGGTGCACATTCTGTGCATCTGCTCTGTGACATGAAGAGAGGTCAGGGGGGAAGACTATAAAGGAGGAAGTGGCTTTGAAGTTGTGGAAAACTTTAAAGTGGATAAATCTTTTCAGCAATGAAATACTATTGGATTTCAGTCAAACAGGTGGCTTCTTATTAAGAAAGATTTGATTAGAGTGATATGAGATTTGTGATCGAAGATCAAAGACAGTCATAGTGACCAAGTTGTCTCAGCCTTGTTGACTTGGGATTGCTGACATTTTGCATATGGATGGTGGTACTAATATTATATCAGATGGAACTTGTTTTCCCATCTTCTGAAATGTATTTCCTTGATTGGCTCATTTAGTCGTGCCTTGCTAGTGCCTCCCGATTTGCTTAGGTGCCTATGCTTCTCATGGCTGTTTAATATCCCTTGTTCCCACAAAAGATCTCCCCAAGTTCCAACAGCTGTACAGATGATTCATACCCAGTGAACAAAGCTGAACTACCAAAATAAGACTTATTTTTCAGAAAATCAAGTTTTGAGTGGTTCTACTTGCATTTTTTTCTTGAATAATCCCAAGTGTACTTTGTATAGTTATCTATCTTATTTTTTTGAAAGGTAAATTTCATTGAAACCCCCTAGTTTTGGGGAATAAACACGGCAACCATTGACATTTTACAGATGACACGGGGCCGCTTATTGGAGAAGTCATTAATGAAAGTATGAAACAACTATTTCTCTTATGTGACTGAGTTAGAAACAAGTAGGACAAATAAGGAACATACAAGTTAATATTTGCCTACATGAGCTTGGATGGGGTATTCAGTTGCAACACACAATACTCGGGTTTTCATTATCATTTCTGAAATGTGAGTGGTTAACCTAATTTCTTCATCAAAACTCAGGTTGTCGGCATTCGGTAAGATCATGTCTCTTTGTTTGCATTGTGTCATGTTTGCAATGCCTTTCAGTCCTTGCATATGCCAAATGTGGGAGCCTTGTTTTCTCTGAAGTCCTTAATCTTTTTGTTGGTAATGGTTGAGTAGTTTTGCTTATATACATCATAATCGCAACTGCAACGTCAAATATTTTGTCTTCTGTAATAATTGATATTTTGCTATGAATTTGGAATGCAGGCAGTTGCATTATTCAAATCTTATTTCGGTGGAGCTTTTGATGAAGATGCTATTCGCAATAATTTTGTTCTGATCTATGAGCTGTTGGACGGTATGCCATTTAAAGGATATTTTATTTAATAGGAAACTTGGTTGTTATGTTTGTGAAGGAATTTTAGCCGTAGTGTTTCATTTAATGTTCTTTGAGTTTATTTGGAAACAACTGCATGCTGTAACTATGTGGAATGTCAGGCATTTATTCCGACTTAGTATATATCTGTGTGTTAGAGCTAAGAGCTAGTGCTGCAAATGATCGAAGCTTGTTCATGAAGAGCTTGGTGTCTGATCAGCGATGGCTTGGCTCGTGTTTTTTTAATAAGTATATGTGCAGGGTTTGAAAAAAATAAATTTGAGCTTATTTAATGAACCATCTGAGTGTCTTGGACAAGACAAGACTTCAATATGCTATTCACTATCCAAGAAAATTCCATTTTTTTTGTTTTGAGTCAACAAGACAATGCAATTGAGTGGGTCTAATTTGAAATTGTCAATAACTAATATAAAAATTTGATTAAAAATTGCAATGGTGACAATCATGTGAAATGATGACTACCATGCAAGCACAAAAATTGATTTGGTGTCTCTCTCTTTCCATTTAGAGCTCAGCTCCTTCAATTTGGTGAACAAGACAATAATAAATTGCTAGATATCACGGGGTATGTGCAAGTGTACCTAGTCTTAATGTGTGTATTTGTTGATCAGCGGTTTGTATTAAAAAATATCCAATTAGAGATTGAGACAGAAACTGCTTCACTGAGGGAGTAGTAATACTTGATAGTATTCATCACTGCAAAAAGTGGGTTTTTATCTCTTTCTTGGATTTTCCCTGTTCTCTTGCTCCTCTGCTCTCCCTCTCATCGAGAATGTTCTTTTCCTCCCTTTCAAATTTTGATAGTCTGCTTCAGAGCTGACCAATTGTGGATAATATTTATCCTTCCAATTGTATTCTTGTGTGGAAACCATTGATTTATTAAGATGTCTAAGACTGAAACAATCAGTGTGATCATCGACAAGTGAGCCAGTCTTGCTTAAAATCTGCATGGTGTTGCACATCTAATTGATGCTTTTCTCTTAAATGTATCAGCCAAGAGTTATGGGTTTGCTAAATTTCTATCCATCTCTCGCCCTCCATCTCATTCCCTATCTGCCTCTCTATCTTCCCCCTCGCTCTCATAATTTTTTGGTTCTTATCTCCTTTGGCCGTCAAGAGCATTGTCTGTTATTCTTTCTTTGCATCTGGCATATGAATCAAGCTTGTGCTCAATATATTTCGATGAGCCCGAGTCTAAACAAGGCTGGCAAGACTTGTAATGAAGCTGAATCTGAACACTCTTTGGATTGGACGAACTGCCAGATAGCCCCCAGCTCAGCTTGGCTCGGCTTGAGCCACATTCACCAGCTTTGCATTTGAAACAAGTGTATAATGAAGCAAAGCTTTTACAGAACCAAGTGACTGTATTTTCTGAATCCCTTTTACTTGACATCAAATTGCAGAGATCATGGATTTTGGTTATCCTCAAAATCTGTCGCCTGAAATTTTGAAGCTTTACATCACTCAGGAAGGTGTACGCTCACCGTTTTCGTCCAAGGTTAGATTGTTTTCTCGTGATATTCTATTTCGTAGGTAGGATATTTTAGTTTGAAGAGAGAGTGCATCTTTTAAGTACATAAAATTGTTCAATTTAAGAATTAATTAGATATCCTACATGTAAGCAACTATGTTGAAGATTTTTCTAACTTGGTTTTGACTCGAGCAAAAAACTAATTAGCCTGCAGATAAACCAGTCCCCAATGCAACTTTGCAAGTTACGGGTGCCGTTGGCTGGCGTAGGGAAGGCCTTGTTTATAAAAAGAATGAGGTGGTCTTTTTTGCTTTTTCTCCCCTGCCTCATCTGGATGATTATTTCAATTCCGATGTATTATACCGTCCATTTTAACAGGTGTTCCTGGACATTGTGGAAAGTGTTAATCTTCTTATGTCTTCAAAAGGTACCTTACTGGTTTTCTAGGCATCTTGCTTGATCTGTTTTTGTTCTTCTTGTATGTAAATAATAGGGTGATTATAGGTAGTGTTCTGCGTTGCGACGTTACTGGGAAAGTTCTTATGAAGTGCTTCCTTTCTGGAATGCCTGATCTGAAGTTGGGCTTAAATGATAAAATTGGCCTCGAGAAAGAATCGCAACTTAAGTCACGTCCCGCAAAGAGGTAGCTTCTGAAGGCACAATTTTCTCGTCCTTCACAAATTTTTTTTTTTTTTGGGGGCNTAAATTGCTAGATATCACGGGGTATGTGCAAGTGTACCTAGTCTTAATGTGTGTATTTGTTGATCAGCGGTTTGTATTAAAAAATATCCAATTAGAGATTGAGACAGAAACTGCTTCACTGAGGGAGTAGTAATACTTGATAGTATTCATCACTGCAAAAAGTGGGTTTTTATCTCTTTCTTGGATTTTCCCTGTTCTCTTGCTCCTCTGCTCTCCCTCTCATCGAGAATGTTCTTTTCCTCCCTTTCAAATTTTGATAGTCTGCTTCAGAGCTGACCAATTGTGGATAATATTTATCCTTCCAATTGTATTCTTGTGTGGAAACCATTGATTTATTAAGATGTCTAAGACTGAAACAATCAGTGTGATCATCGACAAGTGAGCCAGTCTTGCTTAAAATCTGCATGGTGTTGCACATCTAATTGATGCTTTTCTCTTAAATGTATCAGCCAAGAGTTATGGGTTTGCTAAATTTCTATCCATCTCTCGCCCTCCATCTCATTCCCTATCTGCCTCTCTATCTTCCCCCTCGCTCTCATAATTTTTTGGTTCTTATCTCCTTTGGCCGTCAAGAGCATTGTCTGTTATTCTTTCTTTGCATCTGGCATATGAATCAAGCTTGTGCTCAATATATTTCGATGAGCCCGAGTCTAAACAAGGCTGGCAAGACTTGTAATGAAGCTGAATCTGAACACTCTTTGGATTGGACGAACTGCCAGATAGCCCCCAGCTCAGCTTGGCTCGGCTTGAGCCACATTCACCAGCTTTGCATTTGAAACAAGTGTATAATGAAGCAAAGCTTTTACAGAACCAAGTGACTGTATTTTCTGAATCCCTTTTACTTGACATCAAATTGCAGAGATCATGGATTTTGGTTATCCTCAAAATCTGTCGCCTGAAATTTTGAAGCTTTACATCACTCAGGAAGGTGTACGCTCACCGTTTTCGTCCAAGGTTAGATTGTTTTCTCGTGATATTCTATTTCGTAGGTAGGATATTTTAGTTTGAAGAGAGAGTGCATCTTTTAAGTACATAAAATTGTTCAATTTAAGAATTAATTAGATATCCTACATGTAAGCAACTATGTTGAAGATTTTTCTAACTTGGTTTTGACTCGAGCAAAAAACTAATTAGCCTGCAGATAAACCAGTCCCCAATGCAACTTTGCAAGTTACGGGTGCCGTTGGCTGGCGTAGGGAAGGCCTTGTTTATAAAAAGAATGAGGTGGTCTTTTTTGCTTTTTCTCCCCTGCCTCATCTGGATGATTATTTCAATTCCGATGTATTATACCGTCCATTTTAACAGGTGTTCCTGGACATTGTGGAAAGTGTTAATCTTCTTATGTCTTCAAAAGGTACCTTACTGGTTTTCTAGGCATCTTGCTTGATCTGTTTTTGTTCTTCTTGTATGTAAATAATAGGGTGATTATAGGTAGTGTTCTGCGTTGCGACGTTACTGGGAAAGTTCTTATGAAGTGCTTCCTTTCTGGAATGCCTGATCTGAAGTTGGGCTTAAATGATAAAATTGGCCTCGAGAAAGAATCGCAACTTAAGTCACGTCCCGCAAAGAGGTAGCTTCTGAAGGCACAATTTTCTCGTCCTTCACAAATTTTTTTTTTTTTTGGGGGCTTAAAAATACAATCCTGTATTTATTTGTTAGATGTTTTCTTTAACAATTATCAGCATAAAATCCACAATACATTCCTAACAGTTATGCTTTTTACTTGTCCTTGATTATTATATGGTAAACAGTTTTTCTAAAAGAAGTTTTCTCTTTCAGATATATGGTGATATCAAACATGACCTTGGTAATTTTGCATCAGACATAGCCAACTGCCTCATGGAATCTTGCTTCCTGTTATCGCCTTTTTTAGCATTTGCTTTGGAGCCATTTGTTTTATAGGGGAAATTATAAGGGATCTACTGCAGTTCCTTTTGCTTGTATTCTTTATTATATCCCGGTCACAATAATAAATTTGCAGCACATAAAAATCATGTTTCACCTATGCGAATGTGATAAGGTTGTTTAAAGTTAGGAAGAACTATTTGTTTAAACTGTTGGCCAAAACTTTAAAGGTGTGACAAATACTAAGAATCATCATGTTGTAAAGTGTTGAATGCCATAATCAGTGTGTGGAGCATGAAATTTCGCATGAAAATCAAGAATCACCCATGTGAATGCGACACGTGTACGAAGCTACGGTATATCAAAGTTAGGAAGTTCTATTTTGTTAAACGTATTGGCTGAAACCCAAAAGAGGTGACAAACACTATAAGAGTCAAAATTGGTAAGCAAACCATGTACAACAGTGCATACAGGAGCAATATACAAAAAAAGAAAGAAATAAAACTCCCAAAATTTCTATAGAAGACTCTTAATCGTCCACAAATATAGAGTATTCAACGCAATTGGCCCAATTAAATAATCTGCATCTCAAGTCCCATAAAGAACTGCATATTTCTCTTTTCCTAAAGAAACTACGTTAGGCATAAGGACAAAGTCTCCCTCATTTCCTAATCTTTCTTCTCTCAGTACCACCCCTCCCACTACTAAATAAATCTCCTATCGAACCTGGCATGATCCATTCCACCCTGAACAAACTTGTCGTTGAGGAGTCATTTGGTGCTTAGGATTTATTTCTCATTGAAATTCTGGAAACCTGAATTGTTTAGGTTCTTTGCATGTTTGTTACGTGCAATAAAGGGCAGATTTTGTAAGACATGATTACATCAGCTAATAAATTGTTTTATTTTTGTTTTTATCTTTTTTTATTTTTTATTTTTATGTTATCGCCTTTGGCAGGGTTCTTTGATTGATTTGTTCCAATATATATATTTCACAGTAACTCAATATTTTCCTAGATACCTTGATGTTGCAATTAAAAACTCACGAGGGTTGCTTGCCTGTTTTTGCATTATATTGAATGTTGCTCAATTGTTAGATTCCCTGTATTCCATTCATATTCTGATGATCGCTTGCGTTTTGCACGATTTGTTGCTTTAGGTTTTCTTGGTAACATAGTTTTTGATCATGCTACCTTTGTGCAGTGGGAAAACTATTGAGCTTGACGATGTTACTTTCCATCAGTGTGTAAATTTGACGAGGTTTAATGCGGAAAAGACTGTTAGCTTTGTGCCACCAGATGGTGAATTTGAACTGATGAAGTAAGCTCACAGTTGTTCTGCATTTATGTCTGTCTTCAGCTCTTTATATAAGCTGGATGATATACTTGCACACAATTTAGTTGCAAGAATTTCGTATATGTTTATCTGCCATATTGAGGATAGTGGACCTTTAGAATGGATATTAAGTTGCCATTATTTGCATTTATTTTTTGTGGAGTGGGGGGAGGGAAGGGAAGGGAAAGGGAATGAGGTTGAAAACCAAAACCACCTGCGAGCGGAAGTGAGTCCTTACCAGAGGGCACTCACCCGCCTCTCCATTATTTACATTAATATTACCTTTTGGGACTTAGATCTGTACACATGTAGTGCTTTCCAAAACAATAAGGTGCCCGTTTGATTCCCATTGAAGACTTAAGATTGTTTGTTTGCGGAGAAGGGTTCTGCAGACCATGGGTGGAAACTAAGCAACCTTTACAAATTATTGTGTGTATATTTTTTCATCGAATCTGTATCCATGAAACATAGACCTTTGGGTTAGTACTCATTCATTGGGGTTTCACCTACATCCTTCTTTCCCTCCAACACAACATTCTGCTCAGGCTTTTGGCTGCCCCATGTTTAGAGAGCATCTAATTTTGTACTATTCTTCGTCCAGATCATGGTTGGAATATCTTCCCAAAACCACTTCCTAAATTAGTATGGCATTGTGTTGAACTTTTGTTCCAGTGATTGTATATGATATGTTAATAAGACGGTGTGATTCTTGGGCTTCACATGTGTGTGATTAAATGTGTGTTTTCACTGTATTACCATGTTAAACCACTGCATGTGATTCCTATGTTATAAGCTGTCACCTATCAAAGGGGACAAAAAAGAAGAAAAATGTATGTAATAATGTGTCATCAGTGTTATTGCTTTTGAACTATATGTTGGGTTTACTTACGTGCGCTTTCAATTACTTTCTTAGTGGTTTATGAAAAAATATGTTGGTATAAACTTCCATTCCATGCATGTGCCCGCTCCTATGTATGCTTTTGTTTTTATATGATCATCTTCAACACAGGTACCGTATCACTGAGGGTGTAAATCTTCCATTCCGGGTGCTGCCAACTATCAAGGAGTTGGGTCGCACGCGCATGGAAGTAAATGTTAAGGTTTGTTACCAACATTTCTATTAATCGGTATGGAAACTGTCGATAGTCATTTATATATCTCTAATATATTAGTATTTATTTTCAGGTAAAAAGTGTTTTTGGTGCAAAAATGTTCGCACTTGGTGTGGTGGTGAAGATTCCGGTACCAAAACAAACAGCAAAAACAAGTTTCCAAGTGACATCAGGCCGAGCAAAGTACAATGCGTCTATTGACTGTTTGGTCTGGAAGTGAGTGCTGGAACACGGTCCTTGGGCCAGTGGACCTTCATTCAATACACTACTTTATATTTTCCTGTCAAATTTACTGGAATTTGAAGATGAAGTTTGAACCATATCTTGAAGCTTTGAGATGTCAATCTTGTTCAAAATGACCACCCCAATCTGATTGTGAGAAACTTAAGTAACACTCAAGACTCTTTGGAAGGAAAAAAGAAATTAGAAAAACATTCATGGTTTTGGAAAACTAGGCTGCAGATAAAACCTTGTTCACGGGGACCAGCAATTTTAAGGTTATAAAATCAATGCATGTTCACATTGACCAACGGTTGTCTTGTTGTACTATCAATACATGTGACGATACTGTGTCGCACTGCAGAAATATCTGCAATTTTATGATGCGTGTGGAAATCCTTCATTTTTGTGTGCATTTCATGGCGGATACTCTATAACATGAATGACGGGGCTGCAAATTTGTATGAGTTCAAGCGCATTTATTTGTAGATGACTTGGTCGTTTAAATATTAGTTTTGACAAATGGCATTCTTTTGTTATCTACGTATTTTGGTGTAGTCGACAGCCATTATTATGTGTGGCATGGAACCTTGCAGGATAAGAAAATTTCCTGGACAAACTGAGCCAACCTTGAGTGCTGAAGTAGAGTTGATTTCCACAATTGCAGAAAAGAAGTCTTGGACTAGGCCGCCAATTCAGATGGAATTTCAGGTGCCTAGTTGTTCCTTACTGCTATCAAAATAGAAATGACTTTTTTTTTTCCTTTCAAAATAACTGCCTTGCTTTGCACAATTTTTTTTGCAGGTTCCTATGTTCACAGCATCTGGTCTACGTGTCCGATTTCTCAAAGTATATTTCCTGAACTGCTCGATAAACACATGAGATTGTTTATAGTTAGTATGCTGCTTCACCTTGTCTCCTGTTTGCAGGTATGGGAGAAGAGCGGCTACAACACTGTCGAGTGGGTCCGTTATATTACCAAAGCTGGGTCTTATGAGATTAGGTGCTAGAAACTTAGGAATGCTTGTATGGAATTGTTTTCAAGAGCATGCCAAACTGAAGAGGAAACGTACTCGAACTGGTGTAGCTGTGTTGGAGGAATTATTGCATACTTTGCCTCGTCGACAAGCTATAATGACCTCAATTAGCTCTCCAAATAATAGATACATGCCCTCTTCTACTTCCTTTTTGTTTTTTTTTCTCTTCTGCTTCTTGTATTGTTGAAAATATATGTTTTTCCTGGTGGGGGTTTCTCTCAATAGGATCATTTGCCTGTTATTTGTCTTGTAAAAGCTACTCCTTCAGTATGAAGATATTAGGACAGAGGATTGGGCATTTATGTTCGGTGTGCGAAGATATTAGGGCATTTAAAAGCATCAAACGTTGGTCAGGCTATTAGCAATTTTTTTTTAAAATCTGTGTGGTGTGTACTTCGGATTCTGATCTGCTTCAACATAGTTTCTGTTCGATTTTTGATGGATCACTTGCCATTATGTTTTAAACATAGTTTCTGTTCGATTTAAATATGTTTTAAGTTTGAATTTTGATAATTCTTTGGGATTATGTTATCAAGAATTTTACTTTTTTATGAATATTTTAGTTTTAGCGTAGATGACTTGTCTCTTACCAGACGAAGACGTTCAAAGACATCTCTTATCATTAAAAAAAAAAAAAAAAAAATGAGCATAAGCAGATGATCTTTTATCTCAAGACCTAAATATTCTCTCTCTTCATCTATCAAACACACAAAATTCCTATAAAAAAAGTTAAATCTTGCCAAATGTCTGCCAAGATAATCAAGTTATACCTCACTGAAATTTAATTACACTGTAGTTCACAAATTCTTATAGAATGATTGTCACTGAATGTACGTGATCTTACATGATATTTTGCAAATTATCTAAACTAATCATTTTTAGTTCAACTTGTATAATATTTTTACCTTTCAAAATTCATCATTATTTTTGCTAAGCATCACAAAAATAAATTTCACGTAATTATTTGAATTTTAACAAGGGCTTTTTGACCACCAAAATGTTTTAGTGATTTATATTGGAAGATTTATTTACTGATTTTTGGATTCATATAGTATTTTTTTCCCATATAATACTATTATCAATCACCCCGTGCCTAATCACTATAATATTAGATAAATTTTTGTCATAAGTGACCTAATTAATTAAACTATTAGATAGACCAAATTTAGAGATTAATAAAACATGAGTTTTTTTTTTTTTTTTTTGAACTTGAAAATAGGAGTTGTCTAAAGATCTGTTTAAGTTAGAAAGAAAAGAATGATGAAAAGTGAAAATAATAGAAAGTGAAGTACAAGAAAAGAAAATAAAAAATATATATATTTTCATATATGTATTTGATTAGTATAAAAAATTTATAAGAAAATTTCAAAAAAAATTTATTCTATTATTTGAAAGAAAAGAAAGTTTCAATTTTTTTAATTATTTAAATTATGTATTATAATCAAAAGTTAAAAATTTTTTAAAAAAAGGATGGTGGGACAAACACCAACAAAAAAATCTTTACCCCAAATTATATAATTAACCAAAAAAACTTTTTTTTATTGCATTTTTTTTGCCATTATCATGTTGAACAAACGGACCAAGTAGAAAATTACCAGGACTCTATCACTTTTTTTGACAAAAAGAAAAAATATATATATTAATATTTTCTTTTTTCTTTTTTTGTTTTTTGTTGTTCACACATCACACTTTAACCTTCTGAGATTCTCTACCAAGATGGATTCACAAGGATCCGCAGAACTGTCACAGCTACAACCCCAACAAGCGCCACCACCGCCAGGGATGATGGTGGGCCTACCGCCACCACAACACAGCTCTTACATGCCCACCATACCCACCACCACCACCAACACTAACCCCGTGATCAATCTCCATTCCAACGCCACTACCACTACTATGCAAAACCCTCAATTCCCTTTTAATTCTACGGTGACTTCTGCATCGAAACCATTGGATTATGGCGATGGATCGTCGCCCTCTTCTGGGTTCGGCGCTTCTGGGTTCAGCATTGAGCCTGCCAGAAAGAAGAGAGGGCGACCCAGAAAGTACTCACCGGCCGGTGGTAATAACATTGATCTGTCGTTGGTCCCTAATCCGATTACCCAAATTTCTGCGGTGGGTTATCCAGATTCTAGTGGTGGGCCCACATCTTCAGAACCTCCGACGAAGCGGAATAGAGGGAGGCCGGCGGGTTCGGGGAAGAAACAACTTGATGCTTTAGGTAATTATTTGAGCTATTCTTGTTGAATACTTTATTATAGTGCATTTTAGTATGCTTGGTCATTATTGAAGTGTTAAGTGATAATTTTGCTTCTTTGTGGTTAGGAGCACCTGGAGTTGGGTTTACACCGCATGTTATCTTGGTCCAAGCAGGGGAGGTAATTTGACTTTGTTTGTGATGATTCCATTTAGTGCTCATTTTTTTTTATTTTTTATTTTTTATAGTGCTCATTGAATTATGATATAAAAAAAAATAGTAGACACTACTCGGTGTAGATAATTCCAATTAAAACTTGGGTTTATGTGTATGATTCTGTATAAGTAATAGTAATTACATTTCTTTGTATTATTGTATGGTTTGCATTGTCTTAAAGCCAGAAAGAACCTAGGTTTATGTGGGTGTTGACTTGACGGGATTGCATTAGGAATGAAATAAATAGCTAATATGCTTCGATGGATTCAATGGGCTTATACATTTAATTTTTTATTGTTAAACACAGTTTAGTAAACAATTTCTATTGAGTTTTTCGTTAAGAGTAAATCTAGGAATAATAAAGTGGAGTTATTTATCAAACTACGACACGCATTTTACGTTTTTTCTGAAACACAAAATATCATCATCCCTGGTTCAACTCTAGTTCTCTGCAAAAAAGCTTTCTAGCCATTTTCAACTCACCTTTCCTCAACTTGCAGCAACAACTGCATTCTTTGAAACTAAATCAACCAACCCACCACCACATCTATTAAACACCATTCACGCATCCCGCAAACTTTAGGGCGTTTTCAAATTTAGGAAATCCCTTTAGGTCTCCAAGGTCATCCCATGAGGGGAATGAGAAGAGTTGAGATTGTAGTAAAGTAGGCCTAAGCATTATAGATTCTCTTGATGATCAAACAAAGCAATTGGGGAAATTTCTCCAATCATCGGATAGTAAAAATATCGTGTTTGGATAACAAATTTTGGGAGCCATAACACTGCTTTTGAGGCATCTAAGTCACTGCCTAAAAACTATTTAATTTCCCCGCAAACCTGGGCCAAACCATCCAATCTCCAAAAAGGTAATTCTGATGTGATGTTTGAAATCGGAGAAGCCCCAATAGAACCCATGTTGTTTCAAAAAAACTGATCTTGTTCATTGGATTCCGGACAGTTCGGATCACATTTTATCGATTTAACAAACCTTATGACAAACTCAAGTTTTGACAATTTTTGTTCAGAAAATGGGATAAACCCTGTGCTTTCACCTTCTCATTTGGCCAGAGGAAGCTCAAAGTTGAGTAATTCTTTAGGTGCAACACTGACTTTGTTCCCAGTATCCATTGGTTTTGGCAATGGTTTAATAGGGTCTCTCTCAGCAAGTGAGATCGAGCTCTCTGAGGATTATACCAGTATGAGAACACATGGTCCCAACCCCAAAACAGTCCATATTTTTGGTGACTGTATTTTGGAATGTCACAACAACACAAATTTTTCTAAGAATGGGAAACGGGAGGTTGTGTGATGATGGGCTGGTTGATTTGGTTCCAAAGAATGCAATGGTTGCTGCATGTTGTAGAAAAAGTGACTTGGAATGGCTAGAAAGTTTTTTTGGAGGGAACTAGAGTTGAATCAACAACTTGCCTGGATGATGATATTTTGTGAGAAAAGTGTGTTTAGTAATCAGAAAAAAACGTAAAAAGTGTGTTTAGCTCACTTTTTTTTTTAAAATAAAAAAAGGGGTTGTTGACTGCATTTTTTAACAAAAAGGGAGTTATTGAATTCACTTTTAAAAAATGCCGTAGTTTGGTAAATAAGTTCAAAAATTCTGTATTTTGGTATATTTGTTTTAAAAGTGCTGTATTTTGGTAAATAACTTGAATAAAGGAGGTTAAATAAGGTGGCAGACAGCTAGCGTAAAACTCATTGGACATATACCTAATATTACACCATACACAATATTACACCGGTGATAAAGAATGATATGGTGGCTATTAATGACAATTGAAGGGGTGGAAGAAGTTCAAAACTAACTTTAAATTTAACAATGAAAAAAATTATGATAGTTTATGGTTTAATAGAAAGTATGACCCTTGATAGAGCACAATCACAAAACAAATTTATCTAGTTGTCCCAAAAAAAAAAAAAAAA